GAACTTACCGTCATGCATCACATAATGTTTTAATTTGTTAAAAACATCATTTTTGTTATGAAAAATCATTTTTATAATAATCATAATCAATTGGTATCAAAAATAGGATTTTAAAGCTCAAAAATAGCAATTTCAGACAAAATTTCGGACCAGAGTTTCGGAAGATCGATCCAGCCCTCTGGATCGATCCAACTAGAAGAAAAACTCCCAGAGGATCGATCCAATGAAGGGGATCGATCCACTCTGTGGATTTTCAGGCACTGTTCATTCGTCTTCAACCTCGGTCCATTTTTCGGGAAAACCATTTTTAGTCACCGAACTTCAATTAAACTATATAGAGATGTTCTCCAAGGTTCATAGATCATATTAGAATTATTAAAACATATTTTTAACATCAAATTCAAGGTTTATGGTTCTTGGTTCTTCAAACATGTCAAACACAAAACTCAACCAAATGACCATTTATGAACGTAGAAACGACTTATATGAACATTCTAGTCATTAGATATATCTACGGGCTTATCTCGAAGCTTATTGAAGGTTTTGGAAATTTTCCGGCGAAACTTCCGGCGACTCTATCTTACTGCTCCGGCGACCTCACACAAAGATGACAGCACCACTGCGTTCTACACACTCAAAGCTAACTCTCAGAAGCAATTTGGAAAGAAATGGTGAAGAATTGGGTAGGAAGAGGTGGGCCTTATATAGTCTTGGTGAAGAGGAAGCAGAAACAGTGATGACATCCTTTCGACTGTTTCGGCGGCTGAGTGGAGTGGACTGCTACCTTCTCCGATTCTAAACGTAAGTCCCTGATTGGGACTAATTTGGTCCCAGTCGGGGAACACTTTTTGGTCCAACTTTCTCCGAATTGAAATCCGATTGAACCTTTGGAATCAGACAGTCAAACTCTACATAATGATATGATTTTCATTATTTATTGACAAACCTTAGAATTTACTTATTTTTGGGTCCTTTTCAGTAATTAATTAATTATAAATTAATTAACTCTGATAGGCTAAAACTTTCCTTGTTTGGAAGTCAACAGCCAAAACAGCGATGTAGGGAATTTAGACATCGCTGTTGGCAGAACCGTTGCTTCCCATTTTTCAAAACGCAAGCCTAGAACAACGATGTCCAGGCCTAGGACAGCGCTGTCTGGGTGAATTTCAGCAGATCCAAATTTTATCAAATCCCACAAATTGTGCCAATCACCCCTTAAATACTTTGGTCCGTTGGAGCCTATTTTTCTACTATAAAATGGGGTGTTTGGGTCTGTTTTATAACATCACATTACTTCACAACTCCTACTCTTTCATTGCAAATCATTCTTCAATTATTCATAGATTTTGAGAGCCATTTTTTTGTGAAGCTTGTGTTGTGTTCTTGCGCATTCTTAGTTTACTCATTATCCACTCTAAAAGAGAGTATTGTTCTTGAGTGTTTTAGTGTTCTTAAACACTTGACAAGAGAAGGTGTTTCTCTTGTTGCGGTTCGTGTGACTCGAATTCTCAAGTTGTACGGGTTTGTTAAGCACCGTTAAGCTTAACGAGATAGTAGTGTACCTCGAGAGAGTCTCTCGGGAGGCTGGATTAGCCACAAGTTGTGGTGAACCAGGGTAAAATCGGTGTGCCTCTTACTAAGTCTTTACTTCTCATTTATTCATTTTTTTTCCTGCGATTTTTGATCAAACGCTATTCACCCCCCCCCCTCTAGCGTCAGTCTCTTATTCTAACAATTGGTATCGGAGCCTAACTCGCGTCCAAACTTAACCGTTTGAGAGTAAAGCGATCATGGGCTCTTCTTCTAGAAATCTCTATGCAGGAATTGGAGAAGGTCAATAACCTTCTAGGCCACCACTCTTTGATGGCACCAACTACTCTTATTGGAAGGAACGGATGAGAATCTACATTCGTTCCACTAACTTCCAATTGTGGTTGGTGATCAAAAATGGCGAGGAAATCCCTATGAAGAAAGTGGGAGAAACCACGGTCCCAAAGACCGAAAACGAATTTGATGCCGAGGACATCAAGAAGATTGAAAACTATGCAAAGGCCATCAATATGCTATATTGCGCGGTCAACCCCGATGACTACCGAAAGATCTCCTGTTGCACAACCGCCAAGGAGTTGTGGGACAAGCTTGAGGTGACGTACGAAGGTACCGATCAAGTTCGCGAAGCCAAGATCGACTTTCTCACCCAAGAATACGAAATGTTCCGGATGAATGAAGGTGAGAAAATTGATGACATGTCCGACCGGTTCTCAAAGATCATCAACGATCTTCATGCTCTCAAAAAGACTTACACCAACAAGGATCTCGTGAGGAAAATCCTGCGAAGCCTCACACCCGAATGGAGGTCAAAAGCCGATGCAATCTATGAATCCATTGGAGTCTCCAACGTCACCATCGACGGGCTAAGAGATAACTTTAAAACTTATGAATCTACTATTCTAACCCCGTCTTTGGATGAACAAAAGAAAAAGGGGATAGCTCTCAAAGCCACCAAGGAACCGGTGGAAGAGGCTTCAAGCGATGACGACAATGAATTTGGGCTCGTCATCAAGAAGTTCCACAAGTTCATGAAGAAGGAATTTGAGCGGAAGGGAAGGAAGCACGACGGTCCTCCCAAGTGCTACGGCTGTGGCGAGATTGGCCACATCAAGCCAAGGTGTCCAAAGGCCAAACACGGCAAGGATAAGCCTGGCTTCAAGAAGCAAAGGGCCTACATCTCTTGGGGTGGCGATTCCGGCGACGAATCAACCGACCAAGAGGAGGACGAAGATGCAAATCTCTGCCTCATGGCGCACGAAGATCAAAGCGATGACGTCCAAGAGGTATGTAACATTTCTTCCGACTCTTATACTTTTGAAGAAATGCAAGAAGCACTTCATGAACTTTATGAAGAATTTGTTAGCGCCTCTAAAACAAATAAATCTTTGAAGAAACGTCTTTCTACACTTGAAAAGGATTCTTAAAAATTGGAAAAAGAAAATGAAATACTTAAACAAGAAAACAATTTTTTTGGAAAAAGAAGCGCTGACAAACCAGAAAGCTCATCGAGTGAATGTGGGTCTTGCAAAACTTTAAAAGAGCAAATCGCTAAACTTGAGAGCACGGTCAAGAAATTTAATACTCCTCACAAAGACTTAAATTTACTTCTTGACACTATGCATTTTTCTAAAGAAGGAATAGGTTTTGATAAAAATAAAGCAAAAGTCAGTGTTGAGCCACCACCTAGACAATCATCTAAAGTTCAACATAAGAAACCTAAAAATCAAGATAATAGAAAACATAGTCAACCTAAGGACACTAGACAATCTAGACTAAAACCTAGGAATGAAAACGGTCATGGTAGACAACCCATGAAAAATGATTTTGTGCATAAAAATGAATTTTCTCATATAAGAAGAAATAATGCTAGAACACCTAGAAGAGGCCAGTTTCAAAATTTCCAAAAACCATCATTTTCACAAAATAGGAACAAAATGGTTAAACCTTCTATGTATTATGAACCTAGGCACATGTATAACCCCAACGTAGTTTGCCATTACTGTAATAGGATAGGCCATATTGCTCCCGTTTGTTACACTAGGCATAGGCACCTATCACAAAATCAAGCACACTACCATCACACACCTAACACCCGAGGACCCAACGTAAATTGGGTACCTAAAACTCATTGATGTGTTTCATAAGTGTGCTTGAAGGCATCAAGTGTACTTTGGTACCTTGATAGCGGATGCTCCAAGCACATGACCGGGGATGCATCCAAGTTTCTCCAAAT